GGGGGCAGGCGGACTGGGGGTACTGCGAATTGTTGGTTTGTGGTCTGCTGAGGTGAGAGCGATAGGGCGAGGGGGCACGGGGGGCCGGAGGAGCGCTTGCCCTGGGAGTAGAGGCTGGGAGAGCTGGGACTGCTCGGTCTGGGGAGGAGAAGGCTCCAGGGGTTCTCATCGGTGTCTACAGGTACCCGCAGGGAGGGGGCCTGGTTCTTCTCGGTGGTGCCCGGAGAGGTGGCTGCTCAACCTTTGGAGACGCTTGGAAGCTGTCTGGACACGGTCCCGGGCGACCGGCTCTGGGTGGTCCTGCTTGAGCAGGAGAGGCTGGACCAGATGGACCCCAGAGGTCCCTGCAAGCCTTGGCCATTCTGTAGTGAATCAGTGTGTATGCGTGCATACGTACGGGGGGTGTGTGGTAGTAACAAAAAAAAAGCTTCCTCGCCTGTTTCAGTGTCTTTTTGTTCTCTTCTGTTGGCTCTACCCTAGTGGGTGTGAGTCAACTTACAAGGAGGACTGATTCGTGGAGTATTATCTTTATAAAATTAAGCTCGTTTCTGGAGAATTTAAAAATATATAGCTAATTTCACCGAGTAAAAACGTGGTTAATAATGTTAAAGTGAAGCTTTATAAACATATGTAAAACTTCCATGTAAATGTTTTGCAGATTGTCATGGCCCTTTTCAAGCAACTCAGCTGTGGAATAGTATTATTCATGCTCTTCACAGTCAGGTGGAAGTCAAAAGACGTAGACAACATCTGAAAACTTACAAAAACTGTTTCACTGGCTCAAATGCTGTTGATGTGGTACTAAGCCATCTTATGCAAAGCATGTACCTAAGCTGCAATGATATTTCTCGGCGGAAGGGAGTCCGTGTATGCCAAGCGTTGATGGATCATAAGGTGTTTGAGCCAGTTGGAGCAAAGCTGTACTTATTCAAGAATGAGAAAGAAACAGAGTTTGAAGACACAAATACTAGTCTCTATAAATTTGTAAACAGCAGTCTTACGCCTCTTCTTCTGAGAAAGAATAAAAACAATGAGGGCTTGTCTCCTGAGGAAATCTGCAAACAGAAGACAAAAAGACGTTCCAAGTGAGTCACTCCCAACTATTCTGATTTTTTCTTTTCTTTTTTAAAGTTAAGGTGGATTAACTGTAGATGCAGTTATGCCTGTCTAACCCAGGTATTGGAGACTTTTGAAAACTACGTACCAGTTTTGAGAAATGTAATGCCTAAATCTCAGATACCACTTAATATTCCTTGGTAATGCTAAACTGCTTTGATCTGCTCTTTGTTATTTAGAATAGAGTCTGGCACAGCAGCATAAGCCTAGGAATCATTTTGGTTTTGCAATCAATTGTGCTGAAATCTGAGAATCAGTATGAATGAGCTACTTGCTGGAAGCTGGTAAAAGAAACGGAACTCGTCAACAGTATTTGGAATCAATATCCTTGCCCTTTCCACAAAGCAGATATGGATGACTGGTTTTCTGGCAGCAGGATAGACCACAAATACAGTGAAGCCCTAAAGTCCTGATTTAACAGCAATTTAAGAAGTGACAGAAAGATAAATATGTTCTGATCATATTTGTTACACATCTTTTTTTTTTTTTTACCCCTAAGCAGAACGAAGTGTGAAACAACACTTTCAAACCCCTTAGCTTTAGAAGCAGCCGATAAAAAGAGGGTAGAGGATCTTCTTCAATCAATAAACGTTCATACATCTTTACCTCCAAAGATCATGGTTAATGAACCGACCCGCCTGCTGTCAAAAAGAGGTGAGGATTGAATTTTTCTTTTTAAAACTTGATCATTCTTCATTGTATCTGTTTGGGTTGAGTACCTTGTTTCTGTTAAACACTGCTCCTCAGAGTCTTAAATTTAACGTCACTAACGACAAAACAGCTAAATAAATGCTAAATGGATAAAATGTTCACGGTAAGTAAACTGAAAGAGAACAGGATTATTCTATTTATGCAAATACCAATTCAGAAGGAAATAGGTTTTGAGATTAAATACATCTGTATTATATGACTCCTTTGCTATTCACTTGTCTTTTCTTGTACATATTACTAATTAGAGTAGGTTATTACTAATTCCAATATGATGGGGGAAAGATGTTCTCTTTAAAGCCTTCTTTCTTAATGTTCCTGGTTTTATCCCTTATTCCTCAACACAGAAACTTCAGACTATCCTGTTACCTTGTTTTCTTTGAACATTTAAAACATTCTTGAGTGAGTAAAAAAGAGAGGTTAGTGTTGTACATAAGATACTATTTCTGAGGGTGGTTTGTTTGTTTGTTTGTCTGTGGTATCAGTAATAGAAGATGTCTGGAAACAGCAAACGCTGCTACGACTACTGCAGTTAATTGATGTTCCACTTCTAGAAGACATCTTGGTGTCTTCAGTGGAGAGAAAAACACGCTGTTTTGGCAAAGAAGAAGACCTGATTATTTCAAATACTTTCCTGGACAGAGAGGTTACATGTAACTTAAACTTGCCCGAGTAAGTTATACGTCTGTAAAATGGTTTTGTTAGTAAATGCTTTATTTTAATCGATCAAAGATTTGTGTTAAGTGAACAAAATAGAGATCATTACACTTGTATACTTGTAGACAGGAGTGACATTAATGTACTTTCCTGTGACTTCTTTTCGGAAGTAGTAAGGAAATTCACAGAAAGTATATGTTTAGGATTGGACATTTAAAACTTTAACCTCAAGTGTTGAAGACACTTCTAGTTTCTAGACCAGACACTTTACTCTCATAGGTCTCTTTAACAGCTATTAGAAATTGAACAAAGTTATTCTGAGGCTCTTTGTTTGTTACAGTTCCTGGTGATGGTGCTGTGAAGCTATAAAGTCAGTAAGGCATCTGATGTTAGCAACAGAAAGGAGAAACTAAGCTGTAGCACTGCAGAATGCTTCTGTGATGAGAACATAGAAGTACAGGCAGCTGCATGTTGTCAGTGCTTTTTTCCTTAAATGTTCTCTTATTTTTGTAGTTTTACTGTTGATTGCACTTGGGCTGATCTCTGTCTTGGAGACAAAGTGATCAAAGGTTACTTTTCATGAATATGTCAAGGCATGTCTCCTCATGCGTATGTGTCTTAGTAATGCTTATTTCTGTCAAATCAATACAATTTTTATCTGTGTGAGGTTGAGGTGAATTTGTGTACAGGAAGAGACTCTTTCTTACAGCTTTTATGTATTCTTGCTTTAGGGAAAAAATATTGATATTTTTATATATGTTTAGAGTTTTGTATAAACTAATGAAATTCCTGGTTCCAAACTAGGTTTACTGCTGGACAGCATCGTAACTCCCTGGGTTTTTCCTCCCTGAATGGCTTAATGAACACTGTTTCTTTCGACCTTTATGCTTCCATTGTACTTGATTCTTGGGTGATGGGTGGGTTTATGTCTCTTAAAATCTTTCGTATGTGGTTGTTACTCTGTATTATTCTGTATTAAGTGTCTCTAACATTTGGGTCTTTGCTAATACATCAGATGAGTATAAAGAAATTTAAATGCTTGCTTCATCACTTTATTGTACTATTACTTAAGTAGGGGTACTGGAGTAGCATCTTTATAGAAAGTGTATTATTTAGATCTGGCTTGTAGCATGCCTGGGAAATGGGACGTTCCAGGTATGAAAAATAGCCACCAGTATTACAAGCTGCTGTGGGATTCATTGCCCCCAATATGGGGGGGGGGAGGGGGGCATACTTTATATCTCAAATTTTCTGTCTTCAGTATTCAAATAGTGTCATGTTGTGCTTGAACTAAGAAAATTCTTGTTCTTCATTTAGGTACTTAAGAACTGTAATCAAATCCTGCTTTTTCCACCCTCTTTTATAAAGCTATCTAGACTGTCTTCTGAATGTTTACCTTATGAAGATGTTTTCCAGTTAATTTTTTTCTTTAGGGCTTTTATGGATGATAAAATTAGAGGCAGTGTGATTGCACTGCTCATGGGAACATAACTAAGGGGAGGTCACAATCCCATTTCTACTTTTCTGTATTACCCCATTTATGCATACAAGAATTATACAATGCTTGTCAGCTGCAGCAGTCCTAGCAAAAGTTCGTGTTTATGTAGCTGTCAAGCAGCAAGTTCAAAAATATTTCTTTCTGCTCTCCATGATAAAAATAACATTGTGTGGCTCTTAAATAATATTTGCATCTTCTCGCGAGTTATTGATTCAGTTCAAATTATATCCAGGGAGTCAGATAAAAGTAATTCTCTCTCCGCCCACCCCCCGGTTCTATGATTTTAGATTTCTTCTGGACAAAATGGTGAAGTTAATGACTTTTTCCTCTGACTTTCCAGCCTCTCTGAACAATGAGTTGTCTGCCTGAATTTTAGATTTGCATTACATTTTCTCTCGCTTAGTTAAGTTGTACAGGCTTAAGAAAACTGCTGCCTTTAAAGTAAATCATATAATAAACTGCTTTTGCAGTCTTCTGGTATTTAAACTATTTTTATTTTTCTCTGTTTCAAAATAATTGTCTTGTATCTCTTCTCTGAAGATTCAGTCCCTTGCTTTTTCACTGTGGTTAGCCCTGGTGGATTTTCATTGTGTGTGTTGCAGTAATAGTGGGGTGGTGCTTGGTTTTAAATACTACCTGAATTGTTCAAGTGTCTGGGGGTCAGTGATGGTCTGGCATGATCACAGCTTGTTTTGGTCCGGGCGTACCTCGGCTGTATTCTCTGTAGCATTGGAGAACCATGGAAGTTGCTTATTTTGAGGAGGTCCTTGAACTACTCTGGTGAAACAAATTACATAAACTGCTTAATAAGCAACAGGTTTAATGCTGTGGTTCAAATATGTGACTATACCTGCATGGTTATTTGTATCTAATTTTCTTTAAAGGATTAAATAAGAATAGGCAGAGTATTTTAAAGTAAGCACTAAAACTAACTTTTCCTTCTACAGGCTTGACGAATGGCTCTATGCTGCAATTGAATGCTTGGAGTATTTCCCAGACCAATTCGTAGTGATGGTTAGTCAGCAGTTACCTCAAAGCACTAATAAACCGAGCAGTCTGAATACATACAAGAAGATTCTTTTTGACATTATAATCAAGTATTATAGTCAAAAGAAGGACTCCCTTCTTGCCACTGATGATCTTGATATTCATTCAGGAATTACAGAACTTATAGGTAAGAGCAACCTGGAACAAAAGATACGAGTGAAAGCTGTATAGAGGATGGAACTTACTAAGCATTAATTATTTGAATCATAACACTATTTGCAATGCTGTTGCAGATGCACTTTAGTTTATAGGTTGGAAGGGAGTGCTCGAGGCTGCTAGTCAGATCACCTGCTCAAGGCAAGGACAAATTTCAAAGTTAGATGAAGCTGCTTTAGGGCCTGGTCCAACTGAATTTTAAATATCTACAAGGACAGAGGTTCACCAGCCTCTTTGGGTAACCTGTTTCAATATATAACTACTCTCATTGTGAAAATTTCTTACAGCTAGTCAGAATTTCCCTTATTGTTATTTGTGACTAATAACATAAAAGTCAGATCATTATTACAAAGTTTTCTTGTTAACCAGAACGATGTTTTATAAGTTCTGGACTTAGGCCTTTTTTAGTAATAGAAGTTATTTAAAATGATAAAAGGTGTTGTTGAGATTGTGGTTCAGGCTGTGATCCCCACAAAAAAACCTCCCTACACATGCTTACAAGGAAACCAGGAGGGTTTAATTTAAATAGAAGTTTAAGATTACTCCTACCCTAAGTAGGCCCTGTTACTCCTTCAGTTCTGTAGGTTTTATAGAGTGTTATCAAAAGGTTCAGATGTTAGAGAACGACGACAAGCTTGCTGGCATAGGAGTACAGTTGACCTGTGTGAAAATTAGAGCAGAGTGGTGGATCCTGTGGCCAAAACCTCGTGAAAACACAAAAGGCAGTATTGTTCAGTAATATTTTGCTAAGGAGAAAAAAATCAAATTATAATAGAGGTTACGAAAGGGAAACTATTGCATAATTACATAACCCATCCACAAAGAAAGAATGCTAATTTGAAATAATGGACTTAGCTACTGGTAACTTCTGCTAAATGTTCACTTAAATTAAAGATGTTATACTTCATATACATACTTTAAATCAAAACTGATATAAACCAATATTATGGAATATTAATGTATTAGACTAAAACCAGCCAAATCTGTAGGCAAGGGAGAAGACAGTGTCATAATTCTGCTGAATTACTCTGATGCTGTAGTTGCCTGTAGGTCTTTTTCTTATTAAGTATCCGCTTGATCTGAACGACAGACCTGTGAATGTCCAGGGCTGTTCTGCTTTCTTATTCTTGCTTGAATTTTGTTGTCTTCGCACCCCAAGTAAGACTGTCTCACGAGCAGTTTCAAATGCTTTATTTCTTTTTGATGAAGTGGTAGAAATAATTTTATCATTAGGAAATGTTTGAATATATTAGTCTGTGTTCTTGGGTCTTCAGTTGTGTTCTAGTTCATACTAGATCACTGTTAGGAGATTGTGCTTAACACGCTTACAACCATTTTTCACTGTCAGTGCTGAGGTATTCCTTATATATTATGGTTGTCAGTGCATAACAACTCGGATTCTAATAATAATTTTCAAGTAGAATCCAGTGCAGCTAACCTTACTTTGATAAAGTGCTGTTGGTCTGACTCTAGTGCAAGAGAGCTCAAATTAGCTATGAACATCTACATATTTAAAACCCTTTCGAAATTAATTTGAAGTGCTGCAGTTACCTAAAGTATGACTTCATTTTGTTATCCATGTATATATGGTTATAACTGTATTTTCCTCATTTGTTAAACAGTTTGACTTAAGATGGCTGATAATGCAGATCTGTTGTGAAGGCAAACATTGCCGTGCTTGTTGCCTTTAAAATAGACAGATCTGGAGTACTTATGCAGCTGGGCAAACTAGCCCATATGGTTTATTGAACCTTTTTACATTTGAACTTAAAATAACTCGGTAAAGCTTTAATCACAGATCTGGGAAGCCCTTAAACTTTGCTCTGGAAATGATTTAACTGCCTGTCTTCATATCTACGCTTTTGCCTGTCTTGATCATGTCCTTTAGCAATTCTCTTGCCTGCTTTTTTGTCTGCCCTTGTTTTGGAAAGGGGTCACTTACTTGCTCTTTTGGTGTTCTTTTTAAACAAAGATGGTTTCAAATGGCTTGTGGCACACCCTGAAAGTCCTGGATTGCGTGTAATATATAACCTCTGTTCCCAGTAATAGGACAGAGGCCAGAAGATCATATGTAGGTTCTATTCCTGTGTCTACCCTCTTCTTGCTCTTGCCTTAAGAAAGTTACTTCGCTTTTTGATAGTTCCCTGCTTTCAAAGTGAAGATAACTAGAATTATCATTTAAAGGGTTTTTTATAGGAGACTATTTCCACTTTATCACATTTCCTGAAGAAACTTACAACTGAAAGGCTTAAGGGAGAGGTGGGGCACCAACCAACAACTAAAACAAAAAAAAAAAAAAAGAAAACAAAAAAACCCCAAACAAATGAAACCTCAAAGCAATGAGAAATTGTTCAGCTCATTAATTACTTTAAGATGAATCCTGGAATATGATATGAAGGTGTGTAAGCACAAACAGTGCAAACATCACTTGAGTGTTTGCACATTGTAGACAGAACATAGTAATGTCCTGTATATATTGTCCAAGTACATCTGCTCCCCGACTAGCTATGGGACAAAGGTATTAAGCTTATATTGTTTAAATGCTATATTGAGTCTTGTCAAAAGTTTTTAGAAGTCACTGAGATAACCTGCTTTTTTGGAAGGAAAGTCCCCCCAGAATCGGATTAATATTGAAATTTGAATATGTATGCTTGACTTGAAAATGAACAGTTGCACTGGATACACTGTTTTACTCCAATGCAGAAAAAGGAAAAACAGATCAAGCTCTAGAGGCATCACAACTTTATTTAAAATTATTAGCACCAAATATCCGAGAAGAACTACATAAACTCCTGACATTCATAGCGGTTGCATCTGAATCAGAGGGCTACAGATTACAAAAACAAGTAAGTATCTGTTATGTTTAGGGTGGGAAATAGCACTTATGGCACTTTCCTATAACAAAGCTAAGTTTTTCTCCCCTCCCCTCAGAGTTAGAAGTGTTCTGTTTACTGCCTTCCAATTTGATTTGTTTTAAAGCAAATATCAAAATGTTCTTCCCACTGATAGCATCCTGTTACACTTAGTCTTTGCTGACACATTGCAAGTAAATCTAATGCCAAATCTGGGTGGTTCTTTTTCTAGTTTGATAACAGATCGGTGATAATCAAGACTTGCACAAAGTTCATCTTACAAAATAAGACATTGCCAAAACCTCAGGCAGAACTGCTGACTCAGTTTCTGATGGACCATCACTCCGAGCTCTTCAAGGTAGCGTTTTTCTTACCTCGTTGGCTTTGTCATTGTAAATGTTAAATCCCGTGAAGTGCCTTTTTGGAGTTGACAAATCTGAGGAGCAGAGTTTAATATTCTATCTGTTACAGTTCAATGGTACTATCAAGAAGGGTGAGAAGCTATTTCAGGCTATGGAGGACAGCTTTTTGAGAGCTTTGCAATGCTTGATATATAATATCCCTCTCTTTATTTGCATCATTTGTGTTAAGAAGATATTTGAAGTATTAGGAAATTAATTTAGAGTGCTCTTTGACACCTTGTTTCTGATGTCTGTCTACTAAATCTTAAGTCTTCTTGGTGTCTTTCTCATTGTAGAAGTCAGCTGACATATTCTGAGTGATATATAAGATGTCATGCTCTGGTGCCCCAGACACGTACATGTACAGCTTTGATAAGTCTTAAAGAGTCCTTTTGGTATTTTGAAATGTTAACTTCTAAATTAAAGAAAATAAACGGAACCACAAAATGAAATGGCCTATTTAATTGATCAGTTATGTAAAGATACATATATATTTTATAGTCTGTTTACGTTCCATCATATTGTCACATATGTGAAAAGATGCAGTCTTCCCAGACCCTCTGTTGACTTTCTGAATTCAATTAGTGCGTTAAAGTTGTGATGCTTCTGTACTGTTTTCCTCAACTATAAAATTCCCCATTAAAACACTAAGCTAGGTAGAGATGAACTAATTGTCTCAGCTGTTGTAAGATAGCTGTAAAATGCTCTAGACATTTACTGTTCAGTTACAAATAAGCCTCACAGAAACATTGATTTGGTTTCAGTAAAATATTATCTTTAGTTCTTCTACGACACATTCATTTCCACTTCTGACCTCAGCTGAAGAGACACGGGAGATTTGTATTTTTTTAATTGGCTCCAGTTTAGTTTGAACATATCAAGTGATTACTGTGAGTTATGTATGTGTTAGTATACAGCCAAAACCATTTTTTTTTTATTAAGGGTTCTGACATGAGGGTTAGAGCTTTGATTCATGACTGGAGATGGAGCCAGATCTGACAAATGAAGTGCCCACTACTTCACAGCAGTGTCAGCAGAGTGGATGGCGGCTCATTCTTTCACACCTGCACTGTTGAGACCCTTTTGTATTATATAAGCTGAAATAAGTTAAAAGTCTGTGCTACGGTTTTTGCCATAGTTCAGTGGACAACAACATCTAGAACATCTTGCCTCCTATACCTTTGGTCAGAAATATCAGGAATAAACATATATATATGTTTGTGTGTGTGTGTTTTAGCACAATTTTTTGAGGGATTTTGAATGTGTACATAAGTAAGTTTAGGCATGGATTCTTCTGCAGTTAATTATGCAATTTTTAAACTGATCACCTGAAAACTTTAGATTCTCAAAATACAGAAGTATTGTTTTTGTAATTTTTATCTTTGTCGGATTGTATTTTCAGACTCCTTTAACTCTTCTGGAACTAACTAGTAGGAGACTCGAGAGTTTGCTAGAAGGACAAGATCCAGATATCAATTCAGGTAGATGGTGCGATACACACTTTTTATATAAAACTTTCCATACAAATTGATTTATCATCAGTTGACTATAATTTTGCATAGACTACGTTCTTTATTGGAAGTGAAGCATTAAAGCGACTAGTGGCTAATTCACCAAATAATCTAATTATCTGCTGTAAGCAAAACACTGACCTCTGAATTTTTAGATAAAAAGAATTCTATTAATTATCTAGTTTGAACACATTACAAACTTTTTTTTTTTTAACAAAAGAATTACTTCTGGAGAAATTAATGCAAAATGTTCTTCCTGAAGTGACTTGCTTATAATATGGTTTGTGAATGTGATGTGATTTTATATTCTTAGATTTCTGCCATAAGACACTTAAAAATTCTCATAGAGCTCAGTAGTTTGAGATTTTAATAGATGTCTTGATCACAGACCTTGATTGTTCAGTGTTTTGAAGAACTCTCTTCCCTTTCTGGGTAAGCACAAAGTTCATTCAGAGCTTAAGACTTACAGAAGGGTAGCGTAGCCTAAAAGGAAGGCATTTGACACTTGGTGTGTATGTGGGATTGGTGTTTTCCAGCTCATTTCTTTTATGAGCTAACATTTTATCTGGCCTTGGTGCTAAAAATACCTTTCAGCTCTGTGATTAAAAGGGTTAGCTTAAATGATGAATTTCTTTCTGACTCTTCTCTTCTTTTTGACTTCTGTGTTGCCAATGCATTATGCGTTTAAACGTTGAAGAGAAACCATCAGGGAAATGCATAATACTTAAAGTTATTGTGCTGTTTAATTCTATGTTGAATAGAGCAGCTGTCTGAGAAGTCTTTTGGTACAGAATCTTTTACCATTGCGCTGGGTTCTGGAATGTGTCCAAATTGCTTCTAGCTCAGTGTTCTGAGTATCGCATATTGTGTAGCCAGAGAATACAGAGATGAGCAACAGAGGAAAGAGTTGCCTGTCTACGGTATTTTTGGAGCCTGTGTGATCTCCGTCAGCGCATTGAACAGATGACTGAAGTGCAAACCCAGTACTATATTCTCCCTGCTGAGTTTTGGAGTTTCAGTCTCTAAATACACATAGATTCCATCTACTTATTGAAATAGCTAGTTTGATCTGATTGTAAGTTCCCCAGCGTGGCATATTCCCATTTTCCTGCGTGCCTCATGTTCTGGCATCATTTTCCCTTTTCTCATGGAGGAGCTGGGAGGAAAATCTTTCCTGAGAGCTGCTGAGCATTCTTAGCTGGTGAACTTCTGAAGTACAGGTGGGAGTGGGAGGGAATGCTGTGGAACCCTGGTAAGAAAAGGAGTCCCTCTATTGCAGGAAGGTAATCATTAGGTCTGCTGGAAATAAACATTCCTGAAAACACTGAGGGAACTCTGGAGTTGGTTTTAATCTAGTAAGCCACTTGAAACCACCAGACTAAAAGGATCCACCCTGAAATTTTAAGTTAATCTCTTTGCTGGGAGTTGTTAAGCTTTCTCTTTTGAAAGAGATAATGTTTTCTTGATCTGACTCTACTAAACCATAAAAAATATTTCATATCTGGTGTTTGACAGACTCATAAAAGAAGGGAAGGACAGGTCCATGTGAAAATTCTGGCAGTTTAGGTTATTACCACTCTCTATGTGAAGCCTTAAGAAGATGATGTTTGTACAGAAGGAACAATAAGAACTTTTTCCCCTTCAGGCAACTGGCATTTGTTCAACCCACTTGCTCAATAACGTGTGGAGTTAGGACAGTACTCTACTGCATTGGTTCACCACATTTTTATAGCTAAATAGCGCTTAAGTTGTGTCTGTCTCGGGCTCCAGTGCCTTGCTCTGCCCTCACTACCTGTTCCATCACCTCTGCTTCTGGTGCCCAAACCATGCTGAGCTGTGTAGTCACCTAGAAGTTCCCGAATTGTGTTCCTGAATTCAGAGGTGTGGTTCAGAGGCAATTGTTTCTCCAAAGTATTTATTCACTTGCATTATGTACTCGGCCTTGCTACGGATCTGTTTCACTCACAGGGAATCACTGAATTATGACAACTGCAAGGTGCCGTTCTGCAAGATCTGTATGGGCTCTTTATCTCACAGGCCTGTTTGCAATACAAAATCATCTGTGATACTGCAATTCTAACACTGCTTTTCAGTTTTATTTTTGCAGTTAATGTCTGGATGTTCATCCATGCTTAGTGGAGGGCTATATGTTTCATATTGTTTGTAAAGAATTGTAATCACATCTGAACTGAAATATCAATATACCTACTTTTCTGATCATATTTTTTAATTGAGCTCTTATATGATGCATTAAACTTAACCTGAACCTCTGATTTCTTACAAAGGCTTCACCTTCTGTCAGCGCGTGACCGCTAAAGAATATGAAGATCAAAAACAACAAACAAATCAGTATCTGCTCGCATTGGTTCAAGAGATGGACAATAACCCCACTATTCCTTTGAAGCAGAAGAAGAAATTAATTAAAGAGTTTCGAAAATACCATTCTCTCATGAATTGTAGTGGTTGTAAAGCTACTTGTGAATTTTGTACTCTAAATGGTTAGACATCAATACAGCCATTTTTATTTTTTTAAACAAAAAAAGGGGAGGATGCATGTGAAAATTGCCCATGATGCAAACCATTTTCTTCTTATGTCCTTACATCTTCAGTTACAGGAAACTACAACTATCAAAATTAGCGTGCTGCTAAAAAGCATGAATTCTAATTAATGACTTTTAAGCAAAATGAACTTAATTACTTTTAAGTTAATAATAACGGCACATTGCTTGTGCTGCTTTGAGTTCAGGGTTTGGCACTTTTTTCCTTTTGTCCCACAGCCCCATTGCTTTCCAGCTGAGCCAAGTCTACATTCAGAGCCATGCTTGTGTTGATAACCAGCAAGGTTTTTTATATTTTCTATCTGTAGTTCATAATATAACTGCAATCTAATCTTAAACTGTAGATTATGACTCCTATGAGTATTTTAAAAGTGTGCAAAGTGTATCAAAACTGTTAACAGCAGGTCAGTGGGTTATGAATCTGTGTCAGGAGAGCTGAGTGTGCTTGCAGTCAGTAATGACAGCCTGTTACTCCTTCCCCGCTCTGGCAGACTGAGCTGCTGCTAATTTGGCTGTTATGCAAAGGCAGGTAAAAAATTGCGTTTTGAAAAAAGCTTGAGAAATAATCTTGGTTTAAATATTTTGGTGTGTTTAAGCAATTTATTTAAACATGAGGATACTTTAATAGTGTCCAGTTATTTGCCATAAATACTTCGATAGTGTTTATGGATTCATAGGGCAAAGCTAGAAAGCATGTTGGCCTATCTTGGTGGATTGATGGGTAACTGTACATTGACAAGAAAATGTTGATTCAAATCATTAAATAAGTGGGCAATAGAATGTTATAGGGGTTAAATTACTTCTTCCATCCTCATGGCAGACATTTGATCATGTATTGGATGTAGAAACACAGAATTGAGGTTGGAAGGAACCTCTGGCCTAGTCTCACCACCCAGCTCAAAGTGGAGTCAGTTAGTGCAGGCTGCTCAGGGCATTTTCCAGTGGAGTTCAGAATATCTCCAAGGATGGAGATGCCGCAGCCTCTCAGGTCAGTCTGGTCCAGAGTTTGACCAGCCTCACAGTATTTAAAAAGCAAAAACCAAACAATCAAGAAACTCCTCTTACATTTAGGACCCCTTGCCTCTTGTCCTTTCACTGGGCACCACTGAGCAGCACTTGGCTCAGGCTGCTTTACTCCCTCCAGAGCCTTCTCTTATCAAGGCTAAACAATTGCAGCGTGCTCGGCCTCTTCCTTGTATGACAGATGCTCCAATACCTTATCATTTTCATGGCCCCTTTGCTGGTCTGGTTGCAGTATGCCTGTGATTTGTGTTGTGAATATGCTTCTTTAGGTATCTACATCCTCAGCTGCTCTGCATAGGTGCAGACAAGTTAACAGGATACCAAAGCTTCCTGAAAACAAGTGCTGTTTTATCTTCTTTTATAAATTGAAATAGTTACGCTGTTGGATAAAGCCAGCTACGTGTACAGGTAATAGGTTGTATTAACTTGCATATTTCAAGTAGCCTTCATTAAATGGTCTGGCCCTATTAGAAGTCAGGGAATGTAGTTGAAATACCAGTCCATGCGTGCCTGTTCATGTGCTTGTTATTTAACAGGGACTGTCCAGTGTAAAATAAATAATTTCTGGAGGAGGAAAAAAGACCAAGTTTCACCTTTCAGAGGTGAATGCCCTACTTACTAGACTGCACAGCCGTATATTCTTTTTGTAGCCCTGTGTGGGGGTTTTGGTCATTCTCCCAGAAAAGGGGGCATGTACAGGAGTAGGTTACAGAGAATTGCAAACAGGAAAGTATTCCCTGAGTGAGTGCTTCTGGTGTTGAGTAGTGGGACAATGGGATTTTCATTTGGTGTGTTTTTTTCCTCTCTGTCTTCAGTCCCTTTTACTGGGTCTCGAAATACTGAACCTGGTAGTAGGGAGGGGTGATAACATGGTAATTTATAGGATAGATGGACTGTGAATTGCTTTGGGGAAAAATGTGGGTTTTTAAAGAAACAAATTCTTGCACTTTGACTTGATTTTTTTTTGTGATAATTTAAAGATGATAATAAACCATTTCATAAAAAGTGATGAATCAGTCTATCATTTCACAGTGCTTTCATAAGGAAGAGGCAGCTCAGTGGGTGTAGAACCAGGTATCAGACAGTAAGGAAATGCTTCAAGTGGAGAGCGGGAGTTTATAGCTGCCGGGTGCTTTCCTTTAGTTCATGGGTCAAGATTGATTTAGTTCTGCAAAGGAAAAGGAGAGCTCTTGAGAGCCCTATTTTATTCACCTACCCTGACAGGAGGATCTACTAGTTTTTTATCTGTTGAAAGAAGCACTGTCACACTTCAATTACATTCCAAAATTCAGGAGAACTTTATTGAGCTTTATAAAGTTCTGTTACTTAAACAATATTTGACACAGAATCATCTTGGACCACTTGCTTATTTCTATTTATGATTTCTAGCATAGAGCTATCAAATTCATTGCTGGTATGAATTTGTGTTTGAAGTATAAAATTTTCAGAGTGAAGAGTTTAGTCTAGAGGTACTTTCCAATGCAGTCTTGTCGAAGAAAAAGTGATGCCACCTTCAAAGTAAGGAGGCTTACTTCTATTCATAGAGCATTCATGTTTGCTCCTACCAAGGAAAAGGTTCTTGTTGCTTTTATGGGAACCAGGTGCGTATTTCCTTATTTTAAGTCCCAGCTAAAGCATGCTGATAGTTTTGTGAAGCAGTTATTTAAAAAACTGGGGTTCAGACACCAGGGCCTCTGCATCAAAGTAACAGTGTACTAGACTTATTGACGTCCTGTATTCTCTTACACAGAGTAATACAACAGCTGTTTCCAAGAATTTGTAGGTGGTGTCTCCTGCATTAATACCCAAGCTGCCTCCTGTGTGGCTCATGTAGCGATTAAAAGGAGGAGGAGGGTATCTCCTCCATTACTTTCAGCATGTTAGACTGGATGAAAGCCACCATGAGCTGTCAGTCCAATATAAAAAAGATCATATTCAAGAAGAAAGATGATCTCAGAAAACTATTTAACTGGGGCAACTCATCAAGATCTCCCATTCTCTGGAGTGTTGGCTTCTCTTCTATATTGCCCTTATGCTGAGACCTCTAGTTAGAAGCAGATCCTGAGACTCAAATGTTCATCAGGACGTGGCTCTAACTCCATGTGCTTTTCTGAAGTAAAAAAGAAATGAAAGACAGAGATGAGGATATCTCTGTATCTTCATGCTATCAGTGAGCCCAGGGGACGCTGGTATACACCTCTATTTCCTCTGGTCACATCTCTGACCATTCCACTACATCAGTTACCCTTGAGCGACAGATCGTCACAGAGAGGAATTTCCAGAAGGTGATAGTACCTAGCTGTGCTTCAGAGTGCCCCTCTCTGGACTTTCTCAAGGACCAGTGGAGGGGCATGAAATCCAGTGAAGCTTCTGCTCAATCCACGCCATCAGCTGCCCAAGCCGGTCAGTGTTCTTTGTTCCAAGCTAGGTACGTGTACTGCGTTAAGTACACTTATCGGTTGTACACAGGGGCAGCCACGAGAAGGAGTATGAGACTTCAGCTGAGAACAGGATACTCCTCTGCAAATCCAAGACCACTGAGTATCACCAGGACACCACCCTGCACAGACTGACGGCGCAGCGACCAAGCTGCTGATGCTGCCTTTGGTCTGTAAACAGAAATAACGAGCACGGGCTGGGGCATTTGTGTTTGTCTAGAATGCATGGATAGGACACAGATGGGATTACCCAGGACACTGCTCCAAGCTTTGTTCACCTCAGACAGCTTCTGACGCCATCTTTTCAGAAAGGTGAGGGGAGTGGCAGGGAGCTTATTTGCTCAGCCATTGTTTAAAACAAAAAAATAAACTAAAAACCCTTTTCAAAAAGGAATTGTTCAAATTACTATTTTCTCAAAGCCTAAGTATACTTTCAATAGCAGTGGTCACATTTCAAGTATATTCCTCTCATGGCTATTCACTAAAATAACCAAAAATAAAGCTCATGTATTCCTTTTCAGGGCAGGCAATCTCAAAGAGACCCTTTGAGATGTGTTCAACGTCCCTTCAATTGCATGCATGAGTTACAATAACATTTATTTGGGAAAAAAAAAATAATCTTGATTCTTTCGCACTATGTACTAGTGTCACACCAGTACAAGCATTTGGTGTTTTTATTGCCTCATGCATTGAGGTTTTCTGCAATAAGAATACAGTGAAGCCATCAGTAAAAGATAAGAACATAATGAAATTACAATGAACATATAATTTCATAGTATTAGGCTCGTAAAATTTTATTTTTAAACTCTGAAAATTATTTTTTCCCAACCCACTTAAATACAGGAAAGCTAAAACACAATCCTAACTGACACAAAACAGGTTGTGGTTCAGAGTTCCATTCGCAGTAAAACAATGGAATAACAATGCATCCAACTATGCTACCTATATATCAAATTTCTCTTCACAGATATTGTGTCCATGTTCTTCATAATCTTCTCTAGTCACTACCATGTCTTCAAAATCATCATTTTCAGAAATGAGCTTCCCACCTTCCCAAGAATAAGTAATAGGGCTGAAAAGTGAACAAAGTTACTGTTACTCATCTGTAAGTTCACTTAAAATAGAAGTATGCAGTGATGATTTCCAAGACTTTTATTTAGCCATACCCATTTAAAATATGTTCTTGATTGCTAAATCAAACCATCCAGTTCCAGACAAGTTATGAGGCAAAGTTTGAAATTTTAGCAGGGGTACCTGACTGCTTTTTAGAAAAAGCAAGTGCCTCTTAGGAGGCAGGCGTGAAGAGGACAGGAAATGGAGATGTCTTTGTATTTACTTTGCACAGATAATACTACTTTAATAATATTTAAAAACACTCTGTAACAGTACTTTCAAAAAGTGACAATTTTTTTGTACTTTCAAGAAATACTTGTTCTGTCTCAACTGCATACTCTCAGCAAAGATGTTAGTGACTACATTAATAA